ACAGTGTCAAACATATCTGGGTCTGGTACCTCGAAGGCGAAGAACACGAGGTGAGCCGGTGGCTCAAAAGGGAACTCTAGAGTCTTGAGTCTTGAGAGGGAAGGGGCTCGAGGGTGAACTCGGAGGAAACTGGGTTCACCAAAAAGAAATTTTAACAAATGAGATATTGTTATTAGTATGCTATATCTATTATATAAATCAAAATGCTGCATGACAATTTCCTGATTGAATAGGACAAAAGGAATTTTAAATCACTACTTAAAAAGCGAGAATTCACAGGTGCAGGTGTGTGCAGATTTTGATTGCTGTTTAGCGATAGTGTGAAAATTTTACATGTTTGTGAATTTTGGGGTGTAGATAAACTTAAGTCTGCTGCAAACATCTGTAAATGACCACTGGCACTGTATCTTGAGTGGCACTCGGGTTTCTGGGGATTCACTGACAGAGGCAGCACGCGATGAGGACAACGATCTTGAGTCCGGGGAGTATGTGCCAGTCGGTCATATCTGGAAGTTTGACCTTGAGGGACACGAATATACGTGATTTTGGAGTGCAGTTTTATTTTTCAAAATTTTGAATGGAGCCTGTCATGCTCAGTTTTCTCGCGACAACTGAAAACATAAAATGAAAAATCAGAGCGACCGAATTAACAATTGCGGGAAAGTTGTCAAATATATACAGTGGGAAATCGCTATTCGCAATTTCCATCATAGAAAACGAGAGTAGAGCTGTCCTATCTGATATAGGAGACCAAGCGAACAAAAGAGCAGAGCCAAAATCAACTGGACCAGTGTGAACCTTCAACGAAAGGGCGGACAAGTGAACTCTCGCAACGGTTCAGAGTAAAAACTATATTCTTGAGTTAAAACCTACTTCCCTTGATCGGGACTCATCATTAGAAAACTTCGTTTGATTATATTTATGCCGGAGTCGTTAATTAAATCAATTACTCTGTGTCTCAAGCGTGCTGCTATATGGGTACTAAATTTAGTTTTCTCGAGTGTGTTTTATGATTGTTATGTTGAGATACGGCGAGTTTTAGATTGATCCATCTGAAATGAATCAAAGTTCCACCGTCTAATAAAAAGTAACTCAACGGATTCTTCCGACCCTGTTTTTAGCGGCGTTCGTGTATTTTGGGTATTTTGAGATCTAAGTATGGGAAAGTTTTTATTTTCTAGAGTGGGGGTGGATATTTTGGTAATAGCCTTTAAGCTGTAACGGGTTCTAGTCTCTTGTCACAAGCGAACCGAATTGGCTCGGACCGTTTTTGAGGTAGAAAAACACAAGAGATAGTGTCCCTGACTCTTGAGCCATTGGTTATAGGGCCTATTGTTTTTAAGCCTCATATGTGACCGAAGTAGGCGACTGTTACACATCGTCTTAAAATGAATTCAGATGTTAAATAAATTCAATTCAAGACATATCCGGGAAGCTAAAAGTTTATATAAAAAGATTCAAGCTCCAGTCCCGAGACCCCTCCGGATTCTTGAATCCGGGGAAATAACAACCTTATCTTCCTTCCGGAGGGCTGCTTTTCCACCCTTCACCGTTGTTGTGAACGGCCTTGCAACGATTAGCGACACAGTCGTTGCAACTCGGAACGGTATCTGCTAGCTAACTCTGATGTTTTCTTCGATTGCGATATTCTATTTTCTAGTAGTTATCTTCGTCGCAACTATTGTTGTTCTGATTTTTTCTGGTTTCTTTCCAAATTGGCGCTTTTTGCCGTTTCTCGGAAGTGCGACTTCTCAATTCGAATTTTTAAAATTTCCAAATACCAGAAAATCTTGACCCTCACTATTTGACTAATCGTCCCAATAATGTCACTAATCTCTCAAAACTGTCAATTCGGAAGGTTAGCTGCTAACAATTCGAAATCGCCGAATCTGCATTTTCGTTCATTTTGGTTGAATGTCACAAGAATAAACGTGGAATTATGTTTGATTCAATAAGTTCTAATCGAACAAGTTCTAGCTTGAAAATTGAGTTTTTGGTCTGGACCATTGGGAGACTTCGATTGTCTACCTTTCCACTGAAGGCTCACTCTGGTCCAACTGAATATCGATATTCTTTAGCTCGCGATTACTTTCTGTCTCCTGTCACGAATAAGACAGCTCTACTCTCTTCAAATTAGCTATCGGAAATTGCGAATAGCATTTTCCCGCTGCTAAATTTGACCACTTTCCCACGATTATAATTCGGTCGTTCTGTTCTTGTATTTCTGAGATTTTCAGTTTTCGCGAGAAAGTTGAGCATGACAGGCTCAATTCGAATTTTTGAAAGATCCACCCCAAAATTACGTTGTCCGTATTCCTCAAGGTCAAACTTCCAAATATGACAGACTGGTACAGCACTTTTGAGTTCAATTGAAATGCATCTGCCGTAAGTGGCGTAAATAGCCTTCTCCAACGTCGAAATGGCGCGACAAAAGGTGAACGATTTCTAGCTTCGAAATTGGAAATTATTTTTAAGGTTTCCCATCGGAATTAAAACTTTACCTTCTGATCCAGTTTTCTCAAGTTGGGTTGATGTTAACAAAAAAGCGCCAATTATAAATTATTCTAGAAATTAAAAGAGCATAAAAGGCATCAATTTTTTTCTCAGAAATTTCCCTTGTTGAGATTTTTTCAAGAAAGTCAGTTTTTTGTTTACTTGTATTCATTATTTTTTTCCAATCGATTGACTATGCTCTGAATTTCCAGCAGAATAAAAAAATCAATTGTTCCAGTTTTCTGTAAATGTGATATTCTTAAAGAAAGCCAATTAAACAGTGTTTCTTGACGTGATATGTTTATTCTAAGAGCTTTAACGAGATATTTGTTCTTCGAAATTCGAAAATTAAAGTGTTCAAAAATATCCCTTTTTACTTTTTGGTGCCCTTGTTCTTTAACATTTTTGCAACCGTATTTTGGCGATGCTCTCATAATACCTTAAAATAGTGTTTGCTACCTTTGAACAGCTATATCCGGTCTAGCATTGCATATCCCTTAAAAATCAAACAAAACAGAGAAAACAATAAAGTGCTTGTGCTCTTCCCTGGTAATGGAAATAAAGGTAATATGGTTGGTCAAGTCAGAAGCGAAGATGTACGCGGCATGGGATTGTATACATGTAATAGTATTTGGTTACGAAGCAAAAAGAAGACAACTCATAAAGTAGACACCTGATAAAGTCGACAACTACTATATCAACCAATCAGAATCGGGAACAGGAAGCAAACTTAGGTAATGAATATTTTTTTGATTATTTATTTGTTAAGTTGGCTTTCTGTTCTCGATTCTTATAGGATAATAATATAGTATTGTCTACTTTTTAACCGGTATGAAATATAGGTTGTCTAATTTTTGACCGCACTCCATAGTATTTCCTTCCACCTTATTCACTGATCTCTATTTCTATAAAAAGTGATTTGCTTTTCTCTGCAAACGTGGATGAGAATTCATCAGTGTATAGGTAAAAGAAGGGAATTGAAGCAACGTAAGTAAAGTAAAAATAAATCCTTCAGCTAAATTAGAATTTCATTTTGTGCCATCCTTGCATGTCGTGCTTGCTTTTTCAATTCTATACACTTATTGTACTTGTGCGTTCTCGTTGCAACGGAGTTATATTCAGTTTTACTATTTAAGAAATGAAAAAAAGTCGCGCGTTTTTATAACGCACGTGAATTGTAGTGTGTTTTGGGCTCTAAAATGTTAAATTACGTGCGTTGTGGTATACATATTTTCATATACTGTTGTTGTAAATGAATTGAAAACTGAGACTAAATTGTACTGTAACACAAGAACCAAATTGTGCCGCATACTGAGTCGAATGTTTTGAGTCTTAATTTTTCATTTTTTTTCAGCTGTTACCAAGAATTTACATACAACTCTTCGTTATTGCTAGCGAATGTTCTTACGTGAGTACAATATGAACAAAAATAGACTGATTGTTTAAAACAACGAACGGTTTGTAGTATTTATCCACTGACGGTTAACCATTTTCTTTCTTTGCTAAATTCTTCGATTACTTATTACACGACGTGAATTCTAAATCGTACGGCAAAATTTAATCGTGAGCTCAAAGTTGGTATTGTTAAATGGCTTGGATCTGAACTTTGTGAAACTGAATTATTTTCGTTGCTTTACTTGATTTTCGTAAATGTATCGGCAAAATTAACATGTAGACAAACGCAAAGCTTGTTTGAATTCATACGCTAGTTTTACTACTATATTTTACTCATTGGAGTTTGAATATCCATAGAATTGTTAAATATTGAAACAAATATCAAATGTTCGAGGTGACCGCAAACCCTGATTTCAATTCATTTTGAACTCTCTATTCCCAGTTTTTAGCTTTCATTAAACATTTACCAAGAAAATCCAGGCTCCTTGGTTCCTGGTTTTGTTTTTTTTACCTATTTCCATTAAAACTTCTGGTCATTACTTTCGTGTTTGTTTTAATTTGTTTACAGAATTCCTTCGAGCTCAAATCCTGTATTTAAATGAGAGTTGAGCTACAGAAATGTAATTCATATTGGAATTGGATCAAGACAAAATTGTTTTATATTACAACGTAAAGAACGCAGAATTTCCTAACATTGTGTTATTTGCAGACCTCCCGCTTTATGCTGTAGTAGGCAACTGCTGCGGAATCCCCAGACAATTTACTCCTTTATTCGTTCGAGAACTTATTATTATTTCCCTTTACCTTCCTTATTCCTTTTCTAACAGTTATTTCGACTGTATTTGTTATCTACATTTTACAACAGTTTATACTATAACTGTCTGTCTAACATAAGTGTTGCATTTACACTTTGAAGACTTTCGTAAGAAATTCCGTCGATCTTTTAAATTAAAGTTGGTTGAACAGATTTTGAAGTAGAACTGAACATTTTGCTTTCATGAATAGAAAAGCATGTTCTAATTTGACGTCAAATTAGTTCATACATATTCTAGAAGTGATCAAAATTTGAATGCAAGAAAGAAATTGAGTTGATCAAAATTTTGATGACTTTTTTCCACGTTAAGTCAAATCAACTTTTCATTTACGATTTCTGCCGAATATTCAATGCAAACTTGCTCCAATTGATTGACTGATTATGAAGAAAGACATTTACAAGGTGAGTTCAGTTTTATTATTTTTACTGGTAGCTTGCATCCTAAAGCACGACAAAAAGTTTTCTGGGAGACGATCATTATCCTTAATGACAAAAGATTTAATCGGTTTGATTGAAAACAAATAGTGAACATGATTCAAAGAGCGCAAAAAAAAACAAAAATAGACAAAAGATCTTTTTTGGGGGTCGCCGTTTGATTTTTAGAAATGCGCTCGCTGAGATTGAGATTTGAAGAAAGCCATGGTCAACACAATTTTAATAAAAAGTTACAGGAAATAATTTGGATCGAAAGTTTTGTTAACGTTTGACAAATTCAACCACGTTCGCTGTCAACCGATCTTAAAAAATCTCCAAAATTTTTGTAAAAACGAAATGGATGCTTTTGACGGCACAACACTGTTCATTAAAAAATGAAATGGTTATATGGGATTTTTCAAATATGCAAAATAAAATGGCTCAGGGACAAGCGGATCAGATTCATCCTCCCAAGTTTTAAGCTTTACTTAAGTTTGATGCATTATTGACGAACTCATTGACATATTTTGAAGTCACTTAACGTCGAACAATGCCTAATTAACCATTACATTTAGCAACACCGCAAAAGACGAAAAGGCATTAGTAATTGCGCTTGCGATTAGCAAGCGTTTTTAAATTAAAAACATCTCAAGTGTCCTACCGTACGACCAATATACTTGAGAAAGAAAGTAACGCACAAAAAAATTTATGGGACCGTTTTAGTTTTTCTTTCGGAAACTTGGTTTTCTGCCTGTGAAAACACCAGTTTTTTTAAACAAAAATAGTTGTTTGATCGCATTTTAAATACCAAAGTTTGAATATTTGAACACCAGATGTGAAATTTATTAAATTTGAAATTTGTTATTCAAGTTATAAAGTTTGTGCATGAAAATTTAGAATATTTTCCCCATATTTGCAATTTTCTGAAAAAAAAATTGGTTTCACCAATATCAGTAACAGACAATCAGTTTTTAAGTGACCTATTTCTAAATTGGGCGAATATCATCTGAGAAAAAACTAAGATCGTAATTACATCAATCAATTAAGTTTATAAAAGCGTTTTTCTAATTGCTGAGGTGTTTGATTTTTTCTTCAGTGTAGCTTTTTGTATGTAAACAACTTGTTTAAAAATCACTGAATTGTTTTTTCACCTGTTTCCTTAAGTCTGATATTTCGTCAACCAACAGAGTTATTGTGAAAATGTATATATTCAGAATACCCAATCTTTTCGAAATTAGTTTTTTGTTTGTAAATTTAACAACTCTTTATTTATATAGAAGGTTTATTCGGCTTGAACGGCTATGACATATAATATATCTGTTTAATGACCTGAATTTACGTCATTTGAAAGGGGAATTAAAGTTTCCCATGCGTATATAAGCTTCGAGGAGACTCAAAAGTTTAAGGCAAATTTTTATTTAAGGCAAATTTTTAATGACATTGTTTGGCTGAACATATGTGCCAAATATTATTGACCTCGTATTTTGCGTTTCAATGTTTATTCTAGCTATTAATTGTGATTTTTGAAGTGTATTCCCCGAAGTGAACACCATTCGAGACAAACTGAGTTTTTGCTGTTCGCAATTTACAGTAGTTGCATTTAGTGTTCGCAATTTACTTGCGCTGTTTGTAGTTTTAGTAACCTTGACTTCGTGTATTCTTTTTTGTTGTTTTTTTTTCGCTCAAAAGCTTTATGCTGCCCAAATGGTTTCGGTTTATCTTTTATCGGCATAGTGACCTGATTTTGAGCTGCAAATTTTAATTTGAGCTAATAAATGCACAAAATGCTAAGAATCTTAATGGAAGTTATAGTTCAATTTTTCTCATAACATCAATTTTTTTCGGCTGTTCTTTTGCTGTTCTTTCTTTCTGCTTGGTAGGTTTTAGCCAAAATTTTATCTGAAGTGTACGTGTGTGTTTTTGAGATTGAGGGGGACTTAATAAATTTTTTTGGCTCTAAATTTTTTTTGAATTTTTTTTCGGCTTCTTTTTTTTGGCTTAAAAAGTTGCCGCCAATAATATTATCATATGAATGACCTCATCTTGTTTGATTTGACGAGCATATGAAATTTTGTGAAATGGTGTCCAAAATTAATCAAACGGTGAAATTAAGTAAAAATGTACTTAATGCTATATTCCTAATAAAAATTTTGCGAATTTTGTTTATCTAATGAGAGGAGTTCAATATCTCCGATTTATTTTTTTTTGCCGTTTGAATTGAGTCATGCGATAAAAACTGGTCAAAATGGGTTGTTGTTACATTGTAGCTTCAAATGTTTTCCCAAAAATGGACATCATACCAGACAAATTGAGCTCAACTGAAAAAACTTTTTGCAGCTATAGTTTGTTTGAGTAATTTAAAGTGATGGTACATATAGGCCGTTTTAGGAGGCGTTTCTTCTAGCGCGCGCTCCTGCCTAGAAATCAATTGATATTGGTGTCAAAGGGTGCTTAACAAATGTTTCCGGGTTGGTCAGCCAGAAATGGTTCTCATGAAATTGTACCAAAGGAGGTACCAGAAGAAAATTCAAGACCATGTTTTAACTTCTTTTCTAGTATATATTTAAATGCGGGCTTCACTGTCTGACCATTTAAAAGCTTTTTTCAACTTATCATTCGGGCATGTTTAACGAAAAAGTTTTTTCAATTTAAGCTATATCGTATATTGCAATGGTAAAGAATTTTTTCGCTTTTGCAGTTTGAACTCAGTGTTTATTTCACCTAGTATATAGTAACTAGTCGATAGTGAGATGTTGTAAGTTTTCTCCCAGGGGTCGCAATATTGTCTGCGAATCCTTTTCTTTTCGAAATGAGACTCAGGGTACTCTCATGGGTCGCATGTCTTGCCTCCAAATGTGAATGCGCGAGTGCTTTTAGTTTCCGAGATATGACGTTTTTTTATGATTTTTTTTCGAACTTTTCAGAAAACGTAGATTTAATAAACTCCACTAAGTTTGATTTTCACAGCCCTGTAGTTGGGTGTTGTCAGGGTAATCTTAGGGTTTGCAGTATTTACCTCCAAATGTTCCCAGATATGACGTTTTTTTTCTAAAATTTTCAGAAAATTTTCCAAAAGAAATCATTTAATATACTAAACAGAATTTGAAGTGTCCAACCATGTTTTTAGGTACTCGGAGAGTACTCTCAGGGGTTGCAAAGTTTTTCTCCGATTTTGGTTACTCAAATGCTTTTAATTTCCGAGATCTGACGTTTTTCATGTTTTTTTTTTGCGAAATTTTCATGAAATTCTATAATTAATAAACTTCTCAAAATTCGGAATGATGAGAAGTTTGAAATTGTCGAGCATTTAATGGAGTGCTGTCAGCGTATTCCAATTAGTTGCAGACGTAACTTTCATCCTAATTTAATGGCCCAATTTTTTTGAAGCTTTCAAGTTTCACGTTTTTCATATTTCAAGAATTTTCATAAAAAGAATTAAACTAAGAGTCGGTTATGTCCAACAGACACAGGAGTTGAGTTCAAGTTGTGTGGTTATTTGAGGTATAAAATTTTGTTTGGAAGTTTTTTGGCAACCATCTCAGCATCTTAAATAGATTCGTAGCTATAAAACGGTCAGTCTAAATTTTAATCAGCCTAGCTTAAGCTACAATGTTTAGTAAGTTATTGGCTCATTTTAGTGGGTTTCTAATGAATAATGGACTCTGTTTTTTTTTCAAAGAAATCTTAATTGTTCATTCAAATAGTATCTACGTTTAAAGTATTTTTTACCAGTTTTGATTTTTACTACTAGTCAGTTTATACATTTAAATTTCTAACTGAACGATAGAAATCCGATTATTAATAAACTTCTCAAAATTCGGATTGATGAGAAATTTGAAATTGTCGATCATTTAATGGGGTGCTGTTAGCTTATTTCATTTAGTTGCTGACGTAACCATCATCCTAATTTAATGGCTCAATTTTTTTGAAGCTTTCAAATTTCACGTTTTTCATTATATTTCAAGAATTTTTTTAAAAAGAATTTAACTAAGAGTCGGTTTTTCTAAATTGCATGCACTGGATTAAACGTTGGATGGCAGCAATTGATATACATAAGGACTATTGATAAAAAAATAACTAAGCAAAACCATGAATCTCATTTATGAATTGACTGATTTTGCTAGTGAAATTGTTCCAAAAGTTTTTTTTAAATTTGGAAAGTGCAGTTCTATGCTGTCGGCCATTTTAGGGCTTTTTGTCGGCGTTAAAATACAGAAATCTGAAACCCAGTAGTATTGAGGATTTGACCATAGCAATTTAAAAAGAACTTTTTTGAGTTGATATTAATTTTATCGTCTAATTTTTGAAATAAAACTGTTCCCGTCTATTGTTACGGTTGCATACATTTCGTTGTTTTCTTATTTTTTTAGTAAAGCAATTTTCTTGTTCAATTATCTGTTAGAAGCGCCGGAGTTGTGTTGCACGCTAGTTTTAAGTAAACGCAATAAATTGATTGCTTTTGCTTCAATTTTTAGAGAATGTGATTTTTTTGTGCATCGAAATTCTACTGCAGCTTTTTAAAACATCCTACAGCCATGTCCGAAAAACTAAAAATCCTAAATCCGAAAAATTAAAAACCTAATGTCCGTAGGAAGGATCTCTTGAGCAGCCTGTTTTTAATTTCGTCAAGTTTTTGTCAACTCAAGCTCCTAGGTGATCAAGTGTGGTGTGATTAAGAATTTGACTCGCTGTCGTGAAAAATTTTCTGTTTTTTTTTCGGTTTTAGACTAAATGACACGAAATGTGCGAGTGACACAAAAAATGATAATTTCGATTTTTTTAGTATCTAGTTTTTTTCTTTTTGAGTTGCTGGAATTATCATTGTGGTCTGAAGGTTAAGTGCTAATTGCACAGCAATCGGTAACCCCGTGTAAACTTGTTGATGTTTAATCAGGCAAAAAGAATGAAAAAAAGTTCTCGATTGCAAGTTTTGAGGGAAACACTCGAAATCGAAGGTTATCTGTTGACATTATGCCTTACTTTTTTTTCTCCAATAGAGTATAGCGTGTCATCTTCCCATGACTGCGTAATTGATTTAAACGAAAAACGTGGAAAAATTTTGGTGTCCGTTTTTGTTGCGTGAAATGAGTATAATGAAGAGTATTCACCAAATTAATAATGTTTCAACAGTGTTATTTGTGCTTCAGAAATGCTGTCTCTGCCCTTCCAGAGAGGGGGCTCTGAAACCAACTGACACAGGAGGTGAGTTCAAGTTGTGCCGTTGTTTGAGATGTAAAACTTTTTTTGGAAGTTTTTTCGCAATCATCTCAGCATCTTAAATTGATTCATAGCTAAAAATGGTGGTTATAAAAAGGTCAGTCTAAATTTTTGTCAGTTTAGCTTAAGGTATAATGTTTAGTAAGTTATTGGCCCAATTTAGTGGGTTTCTAATGAATAATGGACTCTGTTTTTTCAAAGAAATCTTAATTGTTCATTCAAATAGTATCTACGTTTAAAGTATTTTTACCATTTTTGATTTTTAGTACTAGTCAGTATATACATTTGAATTTCTAGCTGAACGATAAAAATGCAATTAAATTTAAGAAGCTTCGGAAAAGCTTATTTTTTACCAATTCACTCATTCTTTGTTCGCAAAAAAATCTAGGGGCTTCTTGTCAATTATAATGAAGAACCGCTTTCTTATCATATTTCAATGTGTGTTATCTTTTTTTCTACCTCTCAAAACGTGTCAAATCGGAGAAAATTTGCACCGTTTTTTTTACTGGTGCAACTTGTTGTTCGTGATTTTGTAGCTGTGAAAAAGCAGTTCTGTTTGATATATGGCGCCTTTCTTTCTGCTAAACGCAAATAAAAGTAGATTTTAGTCGGCTTTCAGAGAAATTTTTGTCTGTATAAATTGTTTTAGCGTTTTACAAACATTTCCGCAATTTCAAGGCAATTGACAACTGACTACAGAACATGTCAATTTATTGAAATATATGGAAGCAGAAAAAAAAACAAGTTTCCGTTTTCCATGGATTATTAGATGTTAAAGCTAAAAGTAATTTATTTAGTTATCAGAGAACAGCCATAGAAACTAAGTAGTGTTTATATTGAAAAAGCGGCACATTTGAGCTAGACGACTGCTGTAAGCTTAACATATCATATGTTGGCGCAATGCTGGAAATAAAAAATGAAAAAATTTTGTCGCTATTTTGGTTTAGTACAATTAAAATAGTCTGCGTTGCTTTTTTTATTTTGCTATATTCTGCGGTGCATTTCGTGTTTTTTGGTGGTTTCTAATACCGCCGAAATATAAACCAGCTACCATATAAACTAGCAGAAAATATGAAACTGTTATATAATTATTATGCAATAATTCTAACAGTTATAAAGTCAGGCAAATTTCGCTCATATGACGTAACTTTCGTCTGGGTTGTATACTATTTTTTCGTAAATTGCCAGGTTTTTATACTCTGCGCATGTTCGGTTGGTTTTTTAATTCGGCTGGTTTATTTACTCTACTTTTTTCGGTAGGATTAACTAAGTAGAGAAATGAATATACAGAAAGATGGAAAAAGAGAAATAGTCCCCGAATTGAGGGGTAAAGATGAAATAGTATGTCACGTGTTTGTTGCTCAAAGGTGTAAATTTAGGAACCCAATCATCCTACCTTTACTTTTAGAAGATTAAAAAAATAGAGGAATTGAGAACAATTTTTGAACTGCTCCAAAGGCGTACTGAAAAGCAGCTATACTCTTTTAGAGATACGGAAATATGACTTTTTTCAAACCCGTTGGACCGGGCTAAAATTTAGCAGACGAGTTATATTCAATTAAAGAAATCAGACTGTTTCAAGCATAGTCTTTAATTGCGCGCTTTGAAAGTTTTTGTTATTCAAGTTTTTGAAAACAAATTTTCTAATTTTCAACTACTCGTTTAAAAAACTCAAAAGTTAAATTAATTTTAATCTTTCAAAGAGCTGAACGTGCTAGCTTTTCGTAGACAGTTTTTGTGCAGTTTTCCGTTTTTAGAACGAAACTATGGCGTGATTTTCTAGTGTAAAGCGAGTAAATGTTTTAAGAGTCGTTGTCTTTAAGAATCTTAAATGGCAAAATTACAAAATGGCATAAAAAAGAAAAATTTCCCAAATGGCGTAAGTTTCATGCAACAGTTGCATTTAAAAAATCGAAATAAACTTTTCGTGATGTGCGAACATGGTCAAGTTGTCTTTTCAAATGCTGATTGATATTTATCTTGAAAAAATTGTAGAGTTTTTATTAAAAGCAAAAAGCATAAGCTTGTGGTTATTGATAAGCTTTTTGTGGTCAACTATCGCCTACCATTTGTTTGGAAGCTATCAATTCCAAATTTTTTTCACATATTTTCGTTCCTGACAAATTGTTAGAATTCGAGATCGTTAGAAACCGTTTGAATTACAATGAATTATGTCATATGGGAAAAGTTTCCTAATTATGCCATTTGGGATTTATGTTATTTTGGGAAGTTGCCTTGTATAAGTTCAGGAAAAGTCTTAAAGTTCGTTCAGGCACAAGTTTACTATTTTCGCAGCCTGAGCTTCGATTTCTTTTGAAGCTTAGGTCATTTCCTTTGTTAAAAGGAAGGCAAACTTCACTATCAAACAGCCAAGTTAAAAGGTCACGAAAAACGTGATCGACCGACCTCTAGTTTTTCGAAGTTGGATTTTAATTTCAGATTTCTCGGCGAATAATTTTTTTTTTACAATTGATCCAGTTTTCTCAATTTGGTTTTTTTAAAGAAAAAGTTCCAATCATGAATGTTATTGAAATTCAAAGAGCTTTAAGGGAATCAAACCTGGAATATATAGTTTTTTCTAGTCAACAACTAGTTTGACAAAATCAGTTGAATCACTTGCTGATTATGCAACTGACTGACATGCTCATTTTCTTGAAAACTCAAATTTAACAACTGATTTGGTTTGTGCTGTAGACAGTTTTCATTATAGTTGCAAGTGCAAGTGTTGTTCATTCTAAGTTCAGGGGGACTTGAAAGATTTTTAAAAAAATCGTAGAATCTTTTTTTTTCGTTTCAGTTGATGTCTGCTCGAAGATTGTCGGCTTAGTTCCCACATCACTAATTTTTTTCACTGCAAGCAATTTTTTTAGCGTTGATATGTGCAAGTTCTGTTCATTCTAGTTTCATTGGAACTTGAAAAATTTTTTTAAAAAGTTTTGGTTCAGTTGGTTTCAGATCAAAGGTTGTTGGCTTAGTTGCCACATCACTGTTTTTTTGCAGGAAACAATTTTCATTGTAGTTGCAAGTTGAAGTGTTTTCAATTTGTCTAAGGTGTTTTCTATTTAGACTAAATTTTTTATAAGATCATTTTTTTAGGCTCAACTTGTCTGCTCAAAGATTGTCGGCTTTATTTCTTTTCGTAAAGTTTGTTCCGTTGTTGCTGATTTAAAGTTTAAGTGTCTGGAATGTTTGCCTGAAATGAACTTCTATCGAGACATATGAATGATTCTATGACTTCATTATCATTTTTTATATTCTCATAAGATTATATTCTTATTTTTTCCATTTTTTGTCTCTTTTCATGTTTGTGTTGTATCGTGTGTTAATGTTTTTGCCTTATGTTTTATCTCTTTTTTTCTAAGCAAATCTCTTGTGTTTCTTTGGTTTAATTTCAGATTTCCCGGCGTTCATAAAGTAAACAATTTGTTTATTTTCCAGGTTGGGCCCACGTAGTCTGTGCCCTGTACATACAAGAAGTCAGTTTTGGAGATATGGCTGCTCTGGAGCCAATCATAGTAACAAATGTCCCAAAAGAAAGATTCAAGCAGACGTGTTCGATATGCACAGAGAGACAACAGAATCATTTAGCAGGCCAAGGTGCGGTGATATGTTATAATAGGTGGTTTATAGTTGGTTAGTTAAAGGAAACACTTTTAAAAAGTGTCACGATTTTTTCTTACGTTTTCAGGAATCGATGAACATAGCTAAGACTTTTGTATAGGTCGCGTTTTTTTTGTTCTTTGCGAACTGTTTTAAAATTTGCTCAGGCTTCTGCGCTGAATGACTATTTGTTTCTAGTTATGTCCTGTTCATTTTTTTGTTGAAAGGAAGGCAAATTTCACTATCGAACAGCAAAAGAGTAAAAGCCACGAAAAATAAGATCGATGGAATTTAAAATGGAATTTAATTTTCACTTTTACTTATTGATTGTTTTCTCAAATTGGTTCAATTGTCTCAAAAAGTGTCAATCCTAGAAATCAATTTTTTTTTCGTTTGCTTGCGTTCATTGGTTCTTTTTCAAATGTCTGTTGGCTATGTTTATAATACCAAATCAAGTAGGCAAATACAAGCGCTCACTGAATGCTAAATAATGTTTTAAGTCTGGGATATATGACGCAAGGCTTTTTGGCAAATTTCTGTGTTAAGACTTCACAAAAATAGTTTAATCGACCTAAGAAAAAATGTAACAGATTTTTGAGGGAAAATTTTAGAGCCGGAACTGTGTATTTGTATGATCTGGGAAAAAGATAATATCGCATTTTTTTATTAGAGTAAATGGTTTCTTCGAGCAAAAGAGTGGTTCAGGCCTCTTCGTCGAATCATGTTAATTTTAAAGTTTTAAAGAAATGACTCATTTTGGGCCTGTATTTCAAAAAGTACAGGTATTGTAAAATACAAATGATTGTACCATTTTATTAAACCACCTATTGTAACATTTCACCCATAGGTGCGTGCATGTCATGTGCCAAAGTGGGATGTAAATCTGCATTTCACGTGACCTGTGCCCAGGAAAAAGGCTTCTATTCGAGGAGTTTGTAAACAACAACAACAACAGTCTGTCTCCAGGAAATGCCAACGGAGAAAAAAATGAGAGTAACAGTAGCTCTAATGTCGCGTACAGAGGATATTGCGCTGTTCATATTACGAAGCTGGTGAGTTTTTAACATTTTCTGTTAACTAATTTTAAAAAAACGTCTCAGTTTTCAATGCAATTTAAGTTATCATTATTTAATTCGTGTAATTGGTTGTGAATGTTTTATTGTAATTGCTTGCTTTTGTTGCATTATTAGAATATCTGATGTTGATTCATTTGATTGTGTGTTTTTATATAAATAATTAGTTTTCAGGACAATCTGGTTATTTTAAAATTTTCTAAAGTTCCTGAAAAAGAAAACAAGTCTAATTTCACTCGCGAGAGCAACTAGACTTTTTCCCGTAAACAACGTTTCCTACAAATTTCTCTCAATTACACTTTAGTTTCTTACACTTCAATTCATGCTGACATGCTCAATGTTTTTAAAATTCAAATAAAACGACTTCTTAGTTCAGTTGCGGTAGTACTTAGTTTTTGTTTTTAAGAGTAATGAACGTAGTGAAGACTCTTATATAGGTCTTGCTGATTTGTGTTTGTTTTTTTTTCAATAAAAAGTTAAAATTTGTTCACGCTGATATTGATGCACTTAGGTATATCTGATCTTTTTAAATTCAATTGAAATTCATCTGCTGAAAATTACGTAACTAGCACTCTCCAATTACGAACGTGAAAATGGCGCAAAAAAATGTGAACGATTTTTAGTTTCGAAAGTGGAATTAACTTTTTAGATTTTCAGAGGAATAAAAACTTAACCTATTGATCCAGTTGTCCCAAGTTGGATTAGTGTTATCAGAAAAATGGCAATCATAAAATGTTCTTGAATTTCAAAGAGCTTAAAGGGCATCTATTTTTTCTTTGAACTTCGAAAGTTAGATTTTTTCATTAAAGCTTTTTTTTTTATTTACTTGCTTTCATTACTCTTTTCCAATCTTCGATTGGCAATGTTCAATAATATATAAATTGAAACAATGCTGATTTTTTTTGGATTTGTGGTTTTCGTCCTAATTTCTGTCGTCTGATTCTCAGTTATTTTTTCTCAATGCAATTTATTATCTGTGCGTTTTTCAAACAGTTTCTTTCCAAAGCTCAAGTTTTTTTTCGATTCGAATAGTTCCTGCGTGATTCGAGCAGTTCCTGTTTGATTAAAACAGATTTTATGAAAATGTATGGGATTTGCTTTTTTAACTTTTTTTAGACGATTTGAACTCTTTTTCTCGCAAATTTTTTAGTTTTTCTCAAAATCACCGTTCCGTACCGACCTAGAAAAAGTGGTTCCAATAAAAAGAAATCCCACTGCCCTGTCTGCCTGCACAGTCCTTTAGGCTTTTTCTACCTCACCATTGTTTCTACAGCTGTTGAAAAATTACAAAACAAAACATGTTAAATCCTAATATGAAAAGTGTAACAAGTTTACAAAAAACTTCAGTTATTGGAGTTTTTTTTATAATAATCGGCAAAACGTACCTCTAACTGTATATCTCAAGTTCCTGTAAGTTTGTGATTGAATGCGAACTAATGAAATTTTGTTAGCTCAATATTGGATTTTTGCGATAAAAGGCTAATTTTAAGCGAACCGACTTCGAGTGTATTTCGACTACTGTTTTTTTTTTTTAGTTTTCTCAAAACTATCCTACCGATTTTAGAAAAAGTGGTTCCAATAGAAAGAAATCACACTACCCTGTCTGCCTGCACAGTCCCTTAGTCTCCTTCCACCTGCCCTATTTTCTACAGCTCTCGAAAAATTATGTGGGAGGTATTTCAAAACCAATTTTTGTTTTCATTTTCTCGAAAACGTTCGACTCATTTCTAAGATTTTGAGTTCAATTGACGTTGCAGGTTACGAAAATGTGTCTTTTTTTTAATTGTCTTGAGATTAGCTCAACCAAATCAGAGATTTTAGGTTCTATCGAAAGCACAGGTTCTGTGAAATTCGATAGATTTTTTTTACACAAGTTATGGCCCACGGCAAAGTCTAATATGTAATTTTTTTGCCGATTCGAAGTTTTTTTTGAGGTTTTTCAAAATAACTTTACTAAACTTCAGGTTTATGTTTAAATCGGATGTGGAAAGCTCCATGCACAAGGCGATAACCCTAAATTTTGAACTTTGAACGTGGTTTTGTAACTTTCACCTTGCTCGAAATCTACCCTGCTAGTTCTCAGATTATTGGTTCAATTGAAAAATATTTTGTGGCTTTCTTTGGAGCATCAGCTGAAGCACACCATTTTATGTAAAAGAAAGGCTATAGCACTCGGGAAAATCTTATTTAATTTTTTTTCCGAACTTAAGATCTAGTAAAAAAATAACCTCAGCTTTTTCAACAAAGCTTTTTTTTTATTTACTTGCTTTCATTACTCTTTTCCAATCTTCGATTGAAATTAACTCAACCAAATCAGAGATTTTAGGTTCTATCGAAATCACAGGTTCTGTGAAATTCCCTGGCATATTTTCAATGATATAGAAATGGAAACAATGCTGATTTTTTGGATTTGTGGTTTCCGTCCCAATTTCTGTCGTCTGATTCTCAGTTATTTTTTCTCAATGCAATTTATTATCTGTGCGTTTTTCAAACAGTTTCTTTGCAAAGCTGAAGTTTTTTTTTTTAATTTTTGATTCGAACAGCTCCTGCTTTATTCGAACAGTTCCTGTTTCATTAAAACAGATTTCTTGAAAATGTATGGGATTTGCTTTTTTAACATTTTTAGACGATTTGAACTCTTTTTCTCGCAAATTCTTTAGTTTTTCGCAAAATCTACGTTCCGTACCGAACTAGAAAAAGTGGTTCCAATAAAAAGAAATCCCACTGCCCTGTCTGCCTGCACAGTCCTTTAGTCTTTTTCTACCTCACCATTTTTTCTACAGTCTTTGAAAAATTACAATAAAAACAAAACATGTTAAATCCTAATATGAAAAGTGTAACAAGTTTACAAAAAACTTCAGTTATTGGAGTTTTTTTATATAATAATCGGCAAAACGTACCTCTAACTGTATATCTCAAGTTCCTGTAAGTTTGTGATTGAATGCGAACTAATGAAATTTTTGTTAGCTCAATATTAGATTATTGCGATAAAAGGCTAATTTTAAGCGAACCGACTTCGAGTGTATTTCGACTACTGTTTTTTTTTTAGTTTTATCAAAAATATCCTACCGATTTTAGAAAAAGTGGTTCCAATAGAAAGAAATCACACTACCCTGTCTGCCTGCACAGTCCTTTAGTCTCGTTCCACCTGCCCTGTTTTCTACGGCTCTCGAAAAATTATGTGGGAGGTATTTCAAAACCAATTTTTTTTTTTCATTTTCTCGAAAACATTCGACCCATTTCTAAGATTTTGAGTTCAATTGACATTGCAGGTTACGAAAATGTGTCTTTTTTTAATTGTCTTGAAATTAGCTCAACCAAATCAGAGATTTTAGGTTCTATCGAAAGCACAGGTTCTGTGAAATTCGATAGATTTTTTTTACTCAAGTTATGGCCCACGGCAAAGTCTAATATGGAATTTTTTTGCCGTTTCGAAGTTTTTTTTTGAGGTTTTTCAAAATAACTTTACTAAACCTCAGGTTTATGTTTCAATCGGATGTGGAAAGCTCCATGCACAAGGCGATAACCCTAAATTTCGAACTTTGACCGTGATTTTTTAAATTTTGACTTTGCTCGAAATCTACCCTGCTAGTTCTCAGATTATTGGTTCAATTGAAAAATATTTTGTGGCTTTCTTTGGCGCATCAGCTGAAGGACACCATTTTTTGTAAAAGAAAGGCTATAGCACTCGGGAAAATCCTATTTAAATATTTTTCCGACCTTTAGATCTATCAAGAAAATAACCTACCAAATATGAGATTAAGGATTTGGTGAATCCAATTAACCGTTTTGAACATTTTTCCCTCAGAAACACCGAATTCCTTTTCGAAAGAAAAGAACGTTTTTTCCTTGGAAACTTCCGTTTTTGGAATTTTAGTCGTTTTCCAAATTTTGCAAATGTTTTAACTCTATTCGAAAACTGCCCTGAGAAATCTGAGATTTAGATTTCAATCGAAAAGCAGATTTTGTGAATCTTCCTGGTATAATCGGCTTTGCAGTCACAGTTTGGATAAAAAGAACATGTTGCGTGAAAGTTCCACTACCCTGTTCAATTTCATTTCGTTTTCATTTGTAGGAAAGGGTGCCCCTCCCTTTGATAGAGTGCTAAGTCTCCCGATTAGGGGTGATCTCGGGTGAAAGGATTTTGAGCACGAGAGCTTCCAGTCTCTCTTCCCCGTACAAGCATCTGAAGACTGTATGACCACGCTTGCTTCTCGAAGCAATGGTTTCGCAAGCTTTTCAGCACTGGTTAAATCCTTGGATACTTCGGGCACTGATGAATGGTCGGGTATTTTTCTTCCTCTGCAATTGTGCCGTACATAATCACTTAATCATCGGCATATGCAAGGTGACCGATCTCTGAGCCTCTTTTTACACGTTTCTTGCACACTTCGTCAAACACTAAATTGAAGAGAGTGGGGCCGATTAGACATCTTTGTCTCACCCCTCTTCAAAGCACGAACTTCTTCTGCTTGTCTAAAACACCTTCAGCCTGCTCATCCAGCTGCCAAATGATGCGACTCAGAGGGTTGCCCACTTTTCAACTTATTAGGGCTGTGAACAGTGCTGACCTGTCCACCGAATCAAAGGCCTTTACAAGAGCTATAAAGACCAGTATCAGTTTTTTTTCGTAAGAAAGCGTAACAGTTTTCTCCCCTAAACTCGCGGCTAACCACTTATTTTCAGTTGAAAATCACATAAGGTTGATCTAAAAATATAAAACATGTACCTCCAGCTTTAGCTGGCCCCTATTTTCAACTATACTTACACTATCGCATTTGCGAAGCGTTGTGTATTAGTACCAACTTTCTTTTTTTTAAAGCTAACTCGCTAATAAAAGGTTTCATTTATTTGGTGGCACTTTTGCTATAATCACGATCTTAAGCATTGGAAAATCCCAAGCATCTGTTCTGTGCTTTACTTGTGGCTACTTAAGATCTAGTAAAAAAATAACCTCAGCTTTTTCAACAAAG